CCAGGAGGGGGATCAAAATTGATGTTAACTGTGCTAGGAAGGGAAAGGGTTAATCAGGTTTCCCAAGGCAGCTTGCTGTTAAGGTGCCAGAAATACCGAAGGCAAAGAATGACTTGCTAAAGATGGGACAATGGCACTGGTATTTTGCATTTGTTTCCAGGCTTTGAGATAGAACAAATGGGAGTCATTAGTGAAATGAGTTTAGGGAGTTCTAAATTAGCTGTCAGGCTGCCAAACCCGAAGAAGTGCTATGTCAGCTCATTAATTCTGGAGAGCGCAGGAGTACCCAAACCTAGGAAGGAATCCTGCAAAATTCAGAGTCAATTAAAGGAGGCTATTTTGCTATAATAATATTTTCCACACGTATTACACCTCCTCATGGAACAGAGCCCACTTCTACCACAAATGAAATCTCTGGCGGGATGGAGTGTGGCTGATGTCTAGACAGCTGTAATGTGCTCTCCATGGGCTTGTCCACTGGCATCTCTGGGAAGCTCCAGCTAGAACAGGAGGCAGGGACTGCCAGCTGTGGAGAACATCACCCAGGCTGGGATGGCCTCAGGAAGGAGGCACCCATTACCCTGAAATCTTTGCTTTAAAAAAAATCAGCCAACCAAGCCAACAAAAAAACTCAAACCCACAAAAAAGCGCATTTGTACGGGGTGTGATGTTCTGTACGAGGAACACCCATGACGTGCGGAGGTAACATCTGGCATTACACGCACACACCACCTTCGGGATGTGCTCTCCTCCTTGGTCTGCCCGACCTCAGAGCTGTTGACACCCTGCTAGCCACCCCACGCTTCGCTAACCTCTCCAAACCTTCTGTCTCAGGAGCATCTCTTGAGTCCAGAGCCAAAACCCACTGAACTTTGAGAGGACTTCACCGGCTCAGGGTCCATCCCTCCGAGTAGCTGAAAACACTGGGAGCGCGGGGATGCCGAGGAAGAGTGATGTCACGCCTCTGCATGGGCTGCCCTCAGACAAAGCCCCCATGCTGCAGACCAGCAGATTTATAAACAAGAAAGTTTATCAAATAGACGGCTTTTTTCAACAGACAAAATACCACCAGACAGCGATTTGGAACACACTGACTAACGATCTACCTACACTTCCCACATCCCAGCCTTCGGGACACCCCAGCACTTGCCACAAATAAAAGCCACCTCCACAGAGAGGGCAAGCCCACAACGCTCCCAACTCCTCCCTCGCTTCACTCCTGATGGCTATCACTTCTCACCGCCCCGCAGGACAGCTGTAACCGGGGACAAATTAAAACAAAAATCACATGGCTGTGAAATACAAATGAGGCAAAAAATGCCTTCACTGGACCAAGAGAGCTCTGTCTCCCCAACTGCGCCGGATACAAAGATCGTGAGCAAACAGGATAGAATGTCTTCTGCCTTTTGTGAAATGAAAATAAATGAAAGGATCTAAGGTTTCAGGTCACTGATCCCTTGCTTCCCTATCTGTACCATTTATCGGAGGTAGAATATAAAGGTTCCAGGTCCTTTTCTTTTGCTTTTTTTTTTTTTGTCAGCACTTTAATGGTTGTTTTTTCTCCTTCCTCCTTTCATTTTCTGAATGACAGGACAACTTAGGAAGCTGTAAAGTAATAATAAGCTTATAACAGGAATATTGTTTTTCTGGGCCAGTGCAAACTCCTTCTGAATAGGTTGAAGAGATTAAAGTAAAAATGCAATCTGTAAATAGATCAGTCTTTTAATTAGTTTATAGTCTGTTAAGAGATAATATTTTGCTCACATAGATCTTGTGTTATCTGAAGATCTCGGAGCACTCTGTGAACATCATTTAAGCCTTAAAAAAACCCCACAACCTTGGGAGATAGGTAAGTGTATTTAGATTAATTAGTGTTGCTGTGAGAAGCAGGCACTATTATTAGATTTAATTTAGCCCAATAATTGACTTATCTGTTAATGGATTCTAATTCATCTGAGAAGGGATCAAATCCATCTGATTAAAAGGATTACATCGACTCAATTAATTCTATTAACTGACTTAATTTGCCATTTAATAATTTGACACATGGGGCCAGATCTTGGCCCCAAAGAACGCATAAACCAAAAATTACATACCGGAATTATTATGCAAAACTATGCATGCATTTTTCCTTGCCCATGGCACTTGTGGACCCCAGAAAAACATTCAAGGGGGCTTCCTCTGGCCGAATTCCCCCAGTCCCACGAGATCTTCTCTCCCTGTCCTAGGGCTGGCTGGTCACTTGGCTGTACTCACAGCGGCTGGCTGGAAACGAGCGATTCACTGCCTGAGAGCTGCTACCTCCCCTCTCTCCTGGGGCATTCTCTTCAAGAGGTGAGAAGTTTTGCAGAAGTCAATAAAACCTTGCAATAAAACTACCCCCCCTTCAAAGGCAGGACAACCCTCCCATGCCAGCCATTTGGAAGCTGTGTAGGTGCAAAAAAACCAAACTAAACCAAACCGAAAAAACACAGCGCCTCTTCACTTGGACCCTGTTCTTGAACCAACTGTGAATGTATGGGAGGAGAGGGAGAAGAGGTGCCAAAATGTTATTAGCTCCCCCATCCTTAAAACCAGCTAGTGCTAATTGCTGGTGATGAGCACGATGAATCTCCACCACAGCCACGTGCCCGAGAAAGCTTCTCACATTCTGACCGAGCCCGCGCTGCCCTTGCCTGACGTTACCTTCTCGTAATGGGACTGAGCTGCTGGGAGAGTTCAGGGCTGGAGCCAGCTCACGAGCCCCTTTTCCCACATCTCCTGCCGCTTCTCAGACACTGGCCCTTGCTTGTCCTCCCAGAGCTCTCCCTGGTCCGTAACCCTCAGGGCATCGATCTTCATCACCCCCACCATCATCCTCCCCGTGAGTAGGGTCGGGGCTAAGGCAATGGAGAAGGTGGGAGATCACACCGTCCGCAAGGGCCACGAAGGCAAGAGACAAGCTGGGCTGAGCCTGGCTCCGACCAATCGTGCCAGCACACGGCAACGGGGAGGCAAAGGGCAGGAGGAACATCAGCCATCTGCTGCGCCCAAGGAAAGGTGTCCTCCTTCAGAGGCAGATCCGACCAGCCAGACAGGGACAGGGATCAAAAGTTTGCAACTGTTGAGATCCCCAGACCTGGTTTAAGCCTCTCTCTGGTCTTGATCAAAGGTTACTCCATAATAATGCCTCGGGGGGAGGGGTTCCCGGCACATAATGAATCCTGTGTCATTGCCTTTGTATGCAGTTTTGGCTGTAACACAGATGGTTCTCACTTCAGTAACTCCGACATCTCTCCCCCCTTCATTATCACAGCAAGGAGCTCTGCGTGGTCACATCCTGGACTTCCACGTCCCACCTCACTGTCTCCCCGATTATCATGCTCGGAGTGTTCCCGTGCCAAGCCAGATGATGAACAGATTTCCATAACCTTTCAGCATGGCGAGGGACGGGACGGCTTTCCAGCTCGACGCCTCAAGGAGTTTTACCAGGAGGCGAGGCGGGGAGGGAGCGGGCAGCACTGTCAGCGCTCTGGGTTCCTAGAACGATGGCAGCAGCCAGGAACAGAGGTTTTAGGAGCTCCCTGGATGGGAAACCTCAGGCTCTGCCATTGTGCGGCATCACCACCGGTCACGGGCACGCTCCTGCGCGAGGATTTGTTGTTCAGACGTGATTGCATATGTATGAAGGGGACAAGATGGGCTTTGACACATAAATTAGCACTTGTCAGCTGCTCACGGGCACAATTCCCTGCTGCACTCCACTGTAAATGCTGCCTTCTTTTATGGAGGCGAAAAACAACATCACGTTACCTGACAGTCACCCTGGGCAAGAGCCTGTCCCGGGAAGCCAGCGGCAAGCATGCGCGACTAGTTCACATATCAAACCTGACGAGGATAAATGCGATACAATGACATGATAATTAGCAGCCAAGCAGCGCTTTCCCCTCTTGCTTTATCTGGAAATTTGGGAATGACAAAGGACAAGGCTGATGAGACCGCAGGGCTTTCCATGAGGTGACACTACACAACAGCACTGGGGATTCATTTCCCACCAGCCAGGTGCTTTCTAGTTGGTGGCACAGCTCACCCCACTCCGCCACCCGCCCACCTTGGCAGCAGCTGCTCTCTGCGTTCCTCACCCTGCCTGAAGCTCCCTCAGAGAGCTTCAGCCACTCCTGGATGTTGGCCTGCCACCATCACAGTCCACCTCCACCTCACCAGCGCTGCACGTGAAGTCAGCCCCACGAGAACACGCGGGCTGGCCAGTGCGCACACACCTCTGCAACAGTGCACGGGGACAAACATCCTTAAGAGAAAAAGGACCAGTTCTCTGAAAAGCCATGAAAAAGCCTCCCAGCAACCAACCCAAGCAAAGGTATCTCTGCCACAACCACCTCAAAACATACCAGAATTATGGATTTTTTTCTAAATTCAGCCTACTAGCAGCATTTCTAGCACACTGCTTGTGTGTGAATCACAATGAGATCTGTAATTCTTGCAACCAGAGGAAGTTCAATTATTTGCATTCCAAAAAAAAGATCCACATGCCCCAAGATTTAACTTAAGCTCTAGGGTCCTCTCATAGCTCCCAAGTCAGCTTAATTTCAGCTCAAATCAAATACGCCTCCCCACATACACTTTGTCCTACCTAGAAAGATGAGAGTGCTTCACTGAAGCACTGGATTTGTCCTAACTCAGGCCTAGAGTTCATGGGGAACAAACATCCCTGGGTATCATTTATGAATTAGAGCAGACACTGCAAACTCGTCCAGTGAGCAAAAGATTTTTTTCTTCACCATTGTAGACTAATAAACTGGGACATGACACTACTGTGGGAACTTCTTGCAGCTGGGACCTTGCTCCTACACAGCAAATCCCATGCTCTTAGCCTAGAAAGGTTTTTTTCCTTTTTATCCTGTTTTTTATATTTTTTTTTTTCTCCCCAGATATTCTCAGCCCAACATACAGGATTAAAGTATTTGACCTGAAGCCTGGGAGATCCCAGTAAATATTCTTACCATATTTATCTCCATCTTCTCCTTTGGCACTGATCCTCCTGCCGAGCACTTGGATGTGCTTCCCACTCGTCCTGCTGTAGAGCTGATAGAGCCGGAGCTGCTTCCTGCTCACGTCGTCCCTCGCTCGCGTCTGGTTCTCCACATGTATCCGAAAATCTACATTCTCCTCGGCAGCAAACATCTGAGAGGGGATAGGGAGGGTGGAGGGGAGAGAAAACAGAACAGCCCATGAAACCAAATCAGCATCTTGGATGGAAAGGTTGAACACCAACCTGCCAAGGGGCATGTGATGCAGGAGGACACGGATTTGGCTGCCCTTCCCTCGACAGCTGCGGCCGTGGTATCAGACACTCAACGCGCAACTCTAGCCAGAGCTGGCTCTCAACATTAAACCAGATCTGGGTTTTTACAATCAAACTGTGGGGCATTTTTTTTGAGTAAAAACGTCTGTTCAGTCCTGCTTTGGTTTAATCCTGCTCAGCCATGCTGACCATAAATTAAGGTCTCCTTTGCGTATGCAGAGCCTCTACCAGGTTACACGGACACACGTGGGAGGAAAGGGGTGGACAATTCTGTTTCAGAGAACTTGTGCTTCACCTTCAGCAGTTGCATTGGCTCCCCGGACTAACCACAGGGAAGAAGTCAAGGGAAAGAACTATTTAGGCTGAAGCTAGCAAACTTGGACTTGCAGCATCCCACAGGCATAAAATCTACTACAATGAAAAGTGTCATTTGTACATGGGCAGTCTTCAGCCTACGTTTCTGCCAGCTTTGCTTTTCAGTGAAGGCAGCTCCTTGGCGACCATCTGTGGAGGCACCTCATGGCCACAGCTTAGGGAGAGATCATGAGGATCAGTGAGAGCCAGACCAGAACATCCAAGCGCCAAGGTCGTTATCTGCAGTGGCCTCAGCCACTTCATAGTTATTTTTCTTTATGGCCAATGGATTAAATTAACCTGAGTTCATCACAACCTTAGAGTATTGCCAGAAGCTTTCTCTGACACACTTGCCCTTTTCTGAATGCCTTGTTACCTAATTGTTCCCAAGAAACACCAAAACCAAGATTCCTGCTTTTGCTTCCAGAGATTCATCCTGCCTTCCCCAAGGCCAGAGGACCAGGCAACTCAGACGTTCTCAAAAAGCCCCCCCAAAGGGGAGGTTGGACAGCACACACCCTAAAGCACTCCATGCCCAAGCAATCTGAAAGCCCAGAAATCGCTCCGCGATCCATCCCTGAGAGCATTTGGACCACAATGTCCACGCCGCGTACCTCAAACTCACAGACGGACGATATTTTGGTGGCAGACACCCTCCACAGGACAATAAACCATTTGGAACCCAAAAGCAAAAGATAATCGAGCAGCACGCACACATGAAACTGCTGCACAACAGGCAATTTTGAACTTGACCAAGACCATTCAAAGTCTATTTGCTGGTGGTGAGCTCTAACCCTGTGTACCACTTGTGTAAGAGACAAAAGCCACCACACAACCAGAATCACATAGGACCTCTATAATGCCTAGATCTGGACCAGCAGGGGAATGACATTTACTCCTAGCTGGGTTACTCCTCCTCCTAACACATTCCCACTATGGCACCATTGTCCTCCTGGCCTGCCAGTGTTCTGATGTATCAGTATGGGGATAGAGCTGGCAACACACACGACAAAGGGTCAATAAATCCTTGTTCGGGTCCATTCCAGGCTAAAACACGTAAGAGCAAGTGGCCACAACATGCAAAACAGTTCCACTTCAGCCTCCTGCATATGTCATCTCATAGCAGCAAATATTTCAAAGCCAAATACTCCCTAAAAGTCAAAACCTCAAAAGAAGATTTTAGCATTTCCAATTATCGAGTGGACCCACACAGATGGGCAGCAGGAGGAACGCTTCGGGCAGGCAGCGCTGCTTAGCACCAGTCCTTCACCGAGCAACTCAAACAAAAACATTATATTCAACACAGTGGCAACAGCAATGAGGCTCAGAGGGATGTTGCGGGGTCACCTTTGCCACGCTTATTAAATGCCAGGATTACATTATTTGAATCCCAAATCCTAGGACAAGAATTACACCCTCTCGCAGCAATACTTCCCACTCTCGGAGCACGGCACAGCCAGAGGCTGTGATCCAACGCTGTGGCAGCCGTGGTACCGGTCAAGAGGGCACTGGAGGATGCCCAGGGAGCTCCCGGCCATCATGGGGCTCTCCCCAGCCTCGGCTGAGCACAGGACTTGGCTTTTGACATGAACAATGGGCATTTTTTTTCCTTCCTCCTACATCTCATCTTGCTTTCTTTCTAAACACTGTTGTTGCAAAGGAAGCTAAGCTGCTAAAAACAGAGATGCTCATGTAATGTTGACAGTCTGCCTCGTACCCACCAAAGCAAGGCTATTTGCAGTTAAGATTCTGGCTCCATCATTTTAAGATTTAAAACAGATTTTAAATCAGAATGACGTCGTTACACTGCTTTCACCACATGTTAATGAATTTCACATTTTTCTAGGAAAAAAAAGCCCAACAAAACAGGTGGGATCTGAAGCAGGGGGAAGGGCAGGTTGCTTTGCTTTCTTGGAAACTTCAAACAGAAAAGGCAATCTGTTTTCCAAATCATGTTTTAATTCTCTCCTTTAGTTGTCCCTCAAGCACTCACACTGCAGTGCCCGATTGGACTCTGGAGCAGCCACGGAGCTATGCCGTGCTGCGGTCAGCTCTGAACATGCCCGTGCAGGTTTGTCACAGATCTCCTGCCCAAGATGAGCTAACTGTCTCCTCCCTTCGCAAGAAGGGCACACTGCAGCCCAGAGGGATGCCGTCTTCTCCTCCCCGAGCCAAGAGCCTGGCTGGTGTCACCCACAACCCCAACACCTTGTCCAAGCCCTGCAGTAGTCTGATGCAGGGATCAGCAGGGGACACCAACCTCTGAAAGGAAGTCAGCCCAAGCATGTGTTACTCCATTGCTTCTCTGATACTCCATTGCTTCTCTGAAAAAAGCCCAGCTCTAACCCCGGGAGAGAAATCCTACAGGTTCTCCTTGCAGTTGACCTGTCCCCTAGCCAAGACGCCGTGGTCCAACTCCACAACGAACAGCCCAGGATTTGGCTGCCTGTTAAAGATAAGCACACGCTTAACCAACTCCTCTGCTGAAACAGGATGCTCTGCTGGAGCACGGCCAAGGTGAATTCCCTGTGCCAGCCTGGGCTGCATCTGGCCCGCAGCAGGGAGTATCAATATTCTAAAATAAAATTTCATGCAGTGTCGATCTCATGAGATAAGACCTATTTGATCATTGCTGAAATCCATTCTCACAGTATCCCTGCCCTAAAGAGTACACTCCCTCAAGCAGCTAACTTCACTGAGATAGGGAAGTCCATTTATATATACCATAAGAGACTCTCTTTCATACATGTCAAAAGAATTAGTAATACATGCTTCCTTTGATAACTGATCACCAACACTCATTTAAGACCACCTAAATCCAAGTCCATTCACCCCAAATACATTTCCATAACAAGCATAAAATCACAACACCACAGAAATGAATGCAGAAATGTCTAAGTCCCAGTCCCACTTGAAAACTTGAGGACTTTCACTTCTGTTCACCAATGCAAACATTTTTTTACCATCAATACATTACTGCATATAGGAACATTATACACAAAATGACCTTTTTCTTTTGGCCTTTCAACCTGATCATCCACACATCCATGCTGTAGGCAGCAAAACCTACAGACTCGGGATCCTGAGTTCAGCACAACGGGTCCCCGAAACACTCACACCTTCTAAGTCTCGACCAGCACCGTGCCCAGTGGGACACTCTATGGACAGGAAAAGGATTTCCTGCATTACTTTATCTCCTCGAGCCTTTTGGTGGGATTTGGGATTGTACTGCAGTCCACTCTGCAAACCTATCCAACTAGTAGGGGCCGCTGCCTATGCAGGACAGCTTCAGCATCTCATGATAGTGGGTTTCACGTCACCCCATCTCATTCTTTGCCAGTGGTTTACAGTCTGCAAAATCCCAGTTGTTAAAACAAAGCACCAAAATTTTGTTCCATTTTTTATTCTGCCTCTTTTTTTTCTTTTCATTCAGTTCCTCATCCATTTATTATTTATCTTTCAGTGATAATATAGAGCTGCGGAGACACACTAAAAATACAGTTGGCAATACAGAGGTTAAACAAAGGAATAAATTGCACTCCTTTTATAAACAACCATCACCTCAAGCAACTGATAGATCAGAAACGCCTCACTCCTGTAAAGAAGCAGCTCTCCCTCCTCTCCGTTCTACTTGCTCAACCATTCAAGGTAGGTGCATTTAGTTCTGCCTCTTTTCCAAACAGCCATAGACACCAGAAATTGCATCTGTCTTCAGATCGCCCACATTGGGAGATTTTCAAGTGGTTTTTTGCTAAGCCTTTCTCAAAACAGTGAGTGCATTTTATTTTAAATGGCTTTACAACGATCCTTCAGCTTAAAGAATGACTCTCCCATTTGTTAAATCCCAGATGGGGGGGCAAGGGAAAGACCATTTTGCTGATGCAGCCTAAGGTTTCACCATTCAGCAATCCAAGAAATGCTCAAGAATGGCAGCACAGCGACATTAGTCCTACACAAGCTTGTGCCCCATTTCTGCAAACACCGATGCCTTGCTGAAAGCAGCCCCAGCCCCATCAAGGTCAACAAAACCCTTGCAGTGCCAAGCCATGTTTACAGGATTTGGGTTTCCATCCAGCCAACCTCTGTGCACTTCGAATTTTCTATTTTGAGCTTTCCAGTAAAAGGGGATGTTAATCTGCTATCGTTCATGTCATGAAGCGTTACAGCATGCAATGTCCAAGGCCCACAGCATGGCCAAGTTAGCTGGGAGCTGGACTTCACAACTTCCTGATTTTTTGCGTTTTATTCTACAGAGCCCCCAAGCCTCATCAGAGAGCAAAACATATGTCACTCCCCAAACTGAACTACGAATACAAAATCCCTCTTGCTAAGGGCCGTGCCGATTGCAAAAGATAAACAAATCAAGCTATTCAAAGCCCTTTCAAACTCCATCTGATAAGCAGGAAACACTTATTACCTTTCAGCCATCAAATCAACCTAATATTAATGATTTTCTCCACGACCTTCTAAACACATGAAAGTTAACTCGAGAAGGTCAACAAGAGGATATCCAAGACAGATCTCT